CAGACCGGCGAAGGAGCTCCTTCGAAAAGTTCTCCACATCCTCCAGCATGCCGGCGGCGGCAAGAAATTCGGAGCGACGGCCCGCTACGTTCTGCTGAAACAAAAGTAATACGTGTTCGTACTGCCGCACAACGCCATCCAATGCCTCATGCCGTCCCACCGACGCTGCTCGGAGGCCGTCCATCGCCGCCCGCAGCTCCGTCAGCTCCTGCTCGTGCCTTGAACGCAGCCGCGCAGCGGCCTGCTGCGCCTCCTCCTCCTGCACGTGCAGGCGGGAGCGCAGCGCGCAGACCTCCTCCTCGTGGCGACGGCGCTCCTCCTCTCGACGGTCGCTGCTGGCCTGCAGCTCGGCTCGCAGCGCCTCGACACGCTCCATCATATCCGCCATGTCCCGCCGCGCTCGTGCCTCGTACGCCTCGTGCTGCTCTCGCAGCTCGCGACACCTCCGCTCCGACACCCCTTCTACAACTCCTACGGTGGCAATTCTATCCTCAAGAAATTTTTGGTACTGCAATAACTCATCAAGCGAAGCCTCATGCTGTTCCCGCTGTGCTTCGAGAGCCTTTGTGGTGGCAGCGCTCATCTCCTCCACGACGACGCGTACGTGTTCCGCCATCATCAACTTTTCCGTGGAGAGAAGACGCATTGCCTGCGTGACAGGTACGGCGGTAGCTGTGCACACCTCCTGACAGAACTCCAAGAAGAGGCACTCTCGTCTTGCAAACCAGTTCGCGGCTGTCTCTGTTAAGGTAACCCACAGTGTAAGGTAACGCTGCATGTCGGTGGAGACGCGTGTGTTGCACTCAGCGCGTATGGTTTCCAACTCTATTTTGGCGGCTGCCGCGTCGGCCGCAGATAATTCTGCCGCCGTAGCAAGCGAGGCGGTAATCGGATGCGTGTGAATGTGAAACAGTTGAAGTTTGGTATCGTGCAGGCTTGTCAGCGACCCTGTTGAGGCGTTGAGCCACGATGCTGCGGCTCCCGGAATCGCCAACATCTGTTTCTCGCCTCGTTGACTCCGTCTCCTGTGGGCAAACAGGAGCCACCGGCTAAACGCATCCCGTGCGCAATACTCAACGAGGAGGCAGCCCACATCCTGCAGTCGCCCCATCGCACTGTCAAGCTCGGCCCGCAGCGTCTGCTGCTCCTCACCTAATGCCGCCCCAACACGCAAGGCGCACAGCCCTTGCTGTAGAACTTGCAGCTCGCAAATCTCTTCATGGTACAAAGAGAGACGCTTCTCATATTCCATGGAGTTCAGCCGCGCAAACTGAGCTGCGCGTGCACTCTGCAGTTGTGTGTGCCAAGATTCCTCCGCTGTTTGCCTCCACAGTTCCAAGTCAGCCGTCAGACCGGCAACATTCTCCCGAAGTCCCGCACACTGCCGCTCTCTTGCCAGGAGCTCTGCGCGCACGCATATCTCCGCGACCTCACGCTCCGCCTTGTGGCACAACGACTGTCGCACGGCATCCTCCAGTGCTGCGAGGCAGCGGCGGTGGAAAGACTCGTCGTGCAGAAACTGTTCCACTGCAGCGCGGTGCCGCCGTTCCTGGACCTCAGCAGCCGTGACCCGAACTTCCCGCTTCGTTTCCTCCAACTCCACGTGCACCATCTGCTGCAGCCGTACAAGCCGCTGACTCACCGCGTGTACTCGCCATGACGCCCAGATGCGCTGCATTTGCACCGCAACGTTGACCCGTTGCAGCAGCGTCGCCTGCACCGCTCCCCTGCGGCGAAGATGGTTCACATGACTTTCGAGTGCCGCACGCGCCGCGTCAAGATGCCGCTCGGCAACCTCGCAGCGTCCTTGCAGGAGCACCACCCGCTGGCTCAGCGGGGCAACGAGGTCGACCTGCTCCGTCAGCTCCGTTAACTTCTCCGTCAGCTCGGCGCTGCACCGCCCCGCCTCGCGAACCAGAGCGAGAGACGCAAGGTGGAGCAGCTGCATCTTCGCCGAAACGCACGTGTCCACGGCGGTCCACGTCGCCTGCATCATTGCAGCAAACAATGCCTGTTGCGCTCTCACAGCCGCTGCAAGGCGCGTAGACTGCCACTCTTCTTTGCGGCTGCTCTCCTCCGCGGCAAGCACCTGGTGTGCGAGCCGCCGCTCCCGCTCTGCGTAGTGCCGCGCCAACTCCTCCTGTTGTCGCACGTAGTTGCTCGTGCGTTCACTAAACTCGTGCGCCATCTCGTCCATAGCTCTCTTAAGCCGCACCACCTCCTCCTCACGCTCCTGCTCCACGCGAGACACCGCATCGTGCGCAAGCCGTTCGTGCTTCCTATCACGTGACACGTGCTGCTGAAAGTCCAACTCGGCACGTCGCAGCTCCTGCTGGGAGCGCTGCAGCACCGCCTCAAGTTCAACCTGTCGGCGACGCTGCATCTCTAATGCAACTTGAAGCCACCGCGCCCTCCAGTGGTAAAAACACCGTGCCCGTAGCTCCCTGTTCGACCTGTTCGCTGCGTACCGGCGGGCTACGTTGTCACGGAACCTCTTAAACTGACGTCTGCTGTCGGCTCGCTCGCGCTCAGCGCAGACACAAAAAGCTCGGCGCAGCCAACGGCTCAACACCCGCATCTGCAGCCGCTGTGCCAGCGCCCGCTGAAAAAAAACCGCAGCGCCATCCTGCGCAGCGGCCAGTTCTTTGTCCTTATCCGCAAGCTGCACCAGAAACTCTTCCTCCCGCCGCCGCTGCACCTCGACCTGGCCCTCAAAGTAGCGCCGCATTGCCTGCTTTGCCGCGCCCACGTCATTCTCCGGTCGCGGCGCAGAGCCCTCGTTGTGCTCCTTGAGGAGCATGCAGAGGAGGTGTGTGCCCCGCTCGAGCTGCCGCACCGCCTCCTCCTGCTTCGCCTGCGACGACGATTGCAGCGCCAACGAGGTCTCTGCTACCTCGCCCGCGTCCCGCATCCGGCGCAGAGTGATCAGGTCGCGCTGTGCCTCGAGCACGGTGCACTGCGCCTTCCGAAGTGTGCCCTGAAGCTCCTCCATCGACCACACTGCTCCGGCGAGAGGGACAGTGCGGCGGGGAAAAGAAAAGGACAGACAAAAAAAAAGTAGTAGGAATAATGGAAAAACAATGAGCAACACGGGACGCGGCGTAAGCGGGTTGCTACGGACACACACACACACTGTTCGGACAGGGAGAGAAGCACGATGATTTCCAAAGTGAAGGGTGAATGCGAAAAGAGGTTTACGAGAAATGGCTGAGACGTGATGCCTCCACAAAATGGATGCGGAGAGCATGGCACACTCCCACGAACACGAGAGCAACGGCAATCAGCTGCAGCAAAAAGGCAACGTACCAATAAACCTCGAAGAAGCCTCACTTGATTTTGTACAACACGCGGACCTACGACGTCGGGAAGACATGCGCCGCATCTCCCTGCAGAGCAGCGCCACGGCCGCCTGTACGCAGAGAATAGGCGTGCGCATGACACTTCACCCCTACGAGAGCCACGCAACAAACACCACAACCAGAAGCCCGGAGAAAAAAGCAAGCAAACAAACGAGAAAATGTATACAAAACCGCGATGCCGATTTCCGCCAAGGAAGCGCAGGGGCACCTGCGAAAAGACGGATCCAACGCGCAGAAAGTAGAACAAAGTAGCGACGCCGCACACCAAAAAGGCGAAACACGCCCCGCCGTCACGCAACAACAGCTGCAAACGCTAACAGAACACTCGGCTAACGCACAGCAACCACAACCAAAAACAAAAGAAATGCGCTACAATACATCAGACCACTGCAGCACGTTCCCAGAAGGCTTCGATGTCACGCTCCACAGGCACTGCGCCAAGGACCCCAGCAGCAGTTCCAACTTCCTCCCAATCAACTGGGTGAAAAGATCAACCACAGCAGCGATTCTCCCTTCATACGACTGCAGCAACCCATCGTCACAGCCTACACCCACACATGATGTAGTCATTCGGTGGATCCGCTCAATCGTGGCCGCCTCGCGTGACACGGCATCGGCTTCGGAAAGGCGCAACAGCTCCTCCGCACGATCCACATGGCGCAGCATCGCATCCTCCGCATCCTCCGCATTCACAACGGCCGTTTCAAATTCCTTCGTCAGCCCTTCCATTAATGACTCAACGATTCGCTTCGCTTCGCAAACGTCCTCGAGCTCCACCTCCAGCGATTCCAGCCGCTGCGCAAGCATTTCCTCTCGCGCACTCGCATCGCCAATTCGTGCATCCAGCTCAGCGAGACGCATCTCCCTCGCCGCAACCTCCGACCGTACAACATCCA